GTCAAATCCTGGGTCGTGAGTCGCCCGGGCCAACCAAGCCTTCCATCCCTCCGGGGTCGGTTAATTGGTACCAGACTTGTCTGGGAGGATAAAAACACTGACTTGTACATCGGCTGGCCCCCGCAAGTCATTGTATAGGCCACATCGCATTCAAACGCCACTAACAAATGGAAGTAGAATGCGTGCCGCATCCCAAAAAGGATTGATCAATGCCGAATGCATTACCCTTTACCCTGCTCCTAATGCATACGTGATGACTGTCTGAGTCACTGATAGTGAGGTTACATTACGATCGTCACACCGCAGACGTTTAGTGGAGAAAAATCTCTTCAAACCCACATGTAATCGCGTCTCAGGTGTCAGTTCAATACGTATGAACTCATCAGGTGTCATAGTGGTTTCGGCTACATTGGCTTATGACGAAGAACACGCTGGTCTGCCTGCTATGATTGAATATGAACGACCTTAGTCAGCATCGAAATTCAGTCTGCATCAAGGCAGAAGAAACAATGAAGGAAGATGTGGAACCCCTAAGATAAGCGAGAACTGAAAAGGCGTTAGGGAGACGATTGGTAGAGGAAAATGTGCCTCGCAGCTAACGACAGCATGCGAAAAAGTTGTCGTTGGCAGTGTGGACTAGTTTAAGTAGACGATTTGGGCCAGTTGCCACGGCGACGGTGGCCCACCACCGGAAGGCCCAAAATCACTCCGTGGAGCAGCACAACAACTGCCGCCGAACAATGAAGACATATTGCCAGAGGGAGTGTTGCTCATTTGAACATTCCGATGGAAACTGAGAGAGTGAAATCTCCGAAGATATGTGAGCCTAAGGATAGACCTGGGTAACTCTTGAAGTCTTCTGAGTGGAGTGGTCTCATTATCAAACCCACAAAAAATCCCAAGCAGCTTGTGAGTGGCCTTTGAGCCTTTTCATAAAAGCTTTGCATGCGGTGTTTCTCGCTCCCTTGCTCAAGTCAAATCCCAGAAACTATCACGTTACTCGCAGCCGTATGTCCCGTGAGCCGGCACTTGGCGTGCATAATCGATAAGGTTGCCGGCCAATGGCAGCAGGCCAGAGATTACGGTCACCCGGGTGCCAGCGAATGTTGCCCACGGGCTACTTGTGTCTCACTCATTCCGCGGACCTTCCGCTCGAATCCATGGCTGCTGGTGGCTGCTGCCGCCGGATGTCATAAACATGAAACAGGTGCGTAGCCATATATGGCGGTTTTTTTGCTGGGAACCAAAGCAGTAATTACTACGCACATATGGCACCTGTTGCATCTTCATTATGAAATGCTACATCGTCACGCAGGGCACTGCATACGATATTTCCTTGAAAGGGATGCTAACGAGGCTAATACAAGCTAGGCAATAGCAATGATTTTGTTGTGACAGCTTCATTTATTTGGGCTTTCTAAGCCGAGAGTCAGGTGACTATGGGCAATATGTGTGACTTCTGTAGTGGGAAATTTGTCTAGCATTGCTAGTTATTGTCCATGGTCATTTTGAGGGACCCAACTTGGCACTTCATGAGTTCAGTTTTGAGGTGGTCAAAGTCATAGCCAAACAGAATGTTAAAATTGACCCATGCTTTTCTTGGAATTTCCAGGTCGCTAGTAAATGATCCCATGGTAAACAAATAACTTTACCTCATGGTGAATGGTCTTATGGTAAGAAAATCATAGAAATCTTGGGAAACCTTAGAAAAAGGTAATCTTATTAAAAATGGTCTTATGGTTAGGAAAACGTTGAATCAGGGTCGACTCATGTGAATTTACTGCGAATTCGAACACACACTGATAGCCTTTCAAATGGCACT